GTTATGGTGACATCCTGGGAGCTGTTGAGGTAAAAGCCATTTGTTGTTGTTGTTCAATTGCCCAGTCATGCCCAACTTTTTTTGATCCCATGGGCTGCAGCACACCAGGCCTCCCTGTCCCTCACCATCTCCCAGAGTTTGCCCAAGTTCATGTTCCTTGCATTGGTGATGCCATCCAGTCATCTCAGCCTCTGACACACTCTTCTCCTTCTGCCCTCAACCTTTCCCAGGATCAGGGACTTTTCCAATGAGCTGCATCAGATGACCAAAATACTGGAGCTTCAGCTTCTGCATCAGAAAAAAGCCATTTGCCCAGCACCAAATAACCCCTCCCCGAGCTTCTGAGATCTAGTGACTGTGTTCTATAGTCTGCATCCCATCTTTTGAGATCCATGGCTCCTCCATGCTGTGGTCAGCGTGTCTCCTCCCTCTGCCCTGTCACCCCCACCCCCAGGCCCTTCCAGACTGTGGGAATTAAGCTCAACATCTGCATGTGTTAGAGTCTTCTGTGAGGAAGATGGTCTCTTCTCCCTGCTTTATGTATTTACTCACTCACATATCTATATCGGCATGGACTCAGTATATTTTACACTCTAGGTCATAATCCTTTCTTTTTTCACTTTTATTTTGCCTGCACTAGGTCTTCATTGCAGCCTGAGGGTTTCTCCTGTGGCTGTACATGGACTTAGTTGCCCCATGGCATGTGGGATCTTAGTTTCCCCACCAGGGATTGAACCTGTGTCCTCTGCATTGGAAGGCGGATTCTTAACCACTGAACCAGCAGGAATGTCCCTCATTATCTGTTTTGTTGATCAAGTTCTTCCAGCCTCGGCCTCTGGGAGCTCTTTCAGGCTGGTTGCTGTGCCTTTAAGCATCTCCCCACACTTCTGCTCTGGGCACTTCTTTACTGTCTGCTATTATGAGATTCTCCAGGCTTAGCAGGTATTCCCCACTCCCCCCCTCCCAGCCTCAGAATCAAAGACCTTTTTACTTACACTACTTTTGCCAACTGTTCAGCTCAGTCGGCGGTGAACACCTACCGTGAGTAGCAGGCACTCTGCTGAGCACCTGGCATAGACAGTGACTGGCTAGTAAATGTTTAACAACCAGCTCTCTGAAAAATGTAAAGGCTGCACACGTATAGCATAAGGCTTAATGATATCAAGAATGTGTAACACCTTCTTTCCAAATAACGAGAAGTACAGTACTCTTTCCTGTAAATTCCACACAGCCAGCTGAACCTCATAGAATGCTTTCATTGACTTTTGTTGAATTCTTGTATCCATAGCCAATTTCTTGTTGTAACTGATGAATGAGAGAGCTCCCAACCTGAGCACTTGTAGATATTTGGGGGTATTTTGGATATATTTGCATTTATGAGTAATGCAAGTAAAAAAGAAAGACATTGGAACTTCCCACATTCATCAGTGATGTGACTTTTTTTTTTTCTGATAGTAGTTTTCAAGTACTAGAGGAATGTTCCCTCAATTTTTTGTGCTACTTATTATGTAATGGCTGAGGCACAACATGCTTTTTTATCATCTGCACTGTTAAGATTTTCCCCGTTACCTTCTTAAGTCTAGGCAATCAGCAAAACAAACAAACAAAAAATCAAGCTCTATGTAAACCACTATTATTAAACCTATTTATAAAAGTTTTGGGCTTCCCAGGTGGTGCTAGTGGTAAATAAACTTCCTGCCAGTGCAGGAGACATAAGAGATATGAGTTCGATCGCTGGGTCGGGATGATCCCCTGGAGGAGGGCATGGCAACCCACTCCAGTGTTCTTGCCTGGAAAATCCCATGGACAGAGGAGCCCGACAGGCTACAGTCATGGGATTGCAAAGAGTCAGACATGACTGAGCGTCTGAGCACATACACATAGGTTACTTACCGTAATTTTGAAAATAAAAAACAACTTCTTTGTCTCCCTGTCTGGGCTCCACTCCTTCATGCTGGCTGCGCTCTTAAGTCCCATCAGGGCACTCCAGACCCTGGTATCCAGCCAAGTTTTCCTGGGTCTCCTTGGCTCTGATTGGCTCGTTTGCCCCACCAGTGCACCAAGGAGTGTGATTGGCTGATGGCTGAGCCCCATCCACAGCAATGGACTGAACCTGGGAGAGAGATTCCTGAAATTTCCGAAGGACCGAGTGGGTTCTGACCTGTTCTCACTTGAGGCATGAGATATGACCACTCCCTTTAGCACCTTGGCAGTTAGTGGGCAGGGAGGCACATCTACCTGAGCATCCCAGCATGAAAGGAAATTCTTCCACCACTACCTGTGGTCTCTAGATTTGTTTTCTAGCTAGCAGGGGATAAAACACTCTTGAATTTACGCCTTCCCACCTTCTGCCCATTCATTTGATAAAACTTTATTAAACCAATGGGAAAAAATGATAGGAATGATTGAGGTGAGACAGCCCCAGAGGAGAGGAAAGGAGAGGATGGACGGAGAAGTCAGCACAGGAAGGAGCAGGGCATCTCAGCTTCTGAAAGGAGAGAAGAGAGCTTAGGCAGAGACAGAGGTGCCCACAGTGGAGAGAAATTTTAATCTACATGTAAGGTAGCAGAGTTCTGGAACACCACCAAGTCCATTCCTGAAACAGATTTCAGTGGGGTCCAGAGGCTGGCTGCTAGTCGCTCAGTCTTGTCAGCTCTGTGACCCCGTGGACTGTAACTTGCCACCCTCCTCTGTCCTTGGAATTCTCCAGGCAAGAATACTGGAGTGGGTAGTCATTCCCTTCTCCAGGGTATCTTCCCAACCCAGTGATGGAACCCGAATCTTCCACATTGCAGACGGAGTCTTTACCTTCTGAGCCACCAAGGCCAGTGTCGTCATAAATGCTAGAGCAGGGACTTCCTGGTGGTCCAGTGGTTAAGAATTCACCTTGCAATGCAGGGGACTGGGGTTTGATCCCTGGTCAGGGAACTAAGATTCCACATGCTGCGGGGCAACTAAGCCTGAGTGCCACACCTAGAGAGTCCACGCGCCACAACTAAAGGGTCGGCTCGCAACAACAGCAAAAGATCTTGCATGATGCAACTAAGGTCTGATGCAGCACCCCCAAAAGTTTCTGGGCCTGGTGTCCCCAGGCAATTGGAGTTTAATTTCCTCAAACACTGCTCTCACTGACTCCAAAAAAAGCCTTTGGGGGAATTCACCAGATTCTTGCCTTGGCTGGGAAAAGCTGTAGCTAAAAGACTGGTTTGGGAGCCCAAGCGAGTGGAGAAACTTCCTCTTGAACACAGTCCAGCTGGAGTTATAGGAAGTTCTGTCTGCCAGTGCTCCCATTTCGGAAGCCTTCTGTCCTGTTTCTCATTATGTGTCCCTGTCTGGGGAAAGAGACACGTGACCCCACACAGGCAGCAAACCTTTAAACTTAGCTTCTTACTTGAAAAGTGTGTTGTTTTTTCTTCCAAGAGTCTAGGGGGAGGGGTGGGGATGGGTGATAAGAAAGGAGAGAGGAAACAGAGAGGGAAAGAGCTCATCAAACTCCAATCCCACCACCCCCTCCACCATCACCTGAGCTTGGTCAGTTCCTTAACCCAGCAGTCCCCCAACCTTTTGGTCACCAGGGACCAGTTCCATGGAAGACAATTTTACCATGGACCCAGGTGGCAGGGGGTGGGCTGGGGGGTGGTTTCAGGATTTCTGAAGTGTGTTACATTTATTGTGCACTTTATTTCTATTTTTATTACATCAGCCCCACCTCAGATCATCAGGCATTAGATCCCGGAGGTTGGGGACCCCTGCCTTAACCTCTCCAAGCCTCATTTGTAAACTGGGCACAAAGAGATCGCCTCCCCCTATCGTGAGGAAGATGAGTAAAGTACAATAAATGGTAGCACTCCCGATGTCATGTCTTAACCACTAGGCAAGGGAAGAAACTGCCATGACAACATCAAGCCAAGACAAAGCCAGGTGTCAGCACCTCTCTCAGCATTTGCTTCTCCCGGTTTAGATAGATCTTGATGTGCTCCCTGTTGAAAGTAGCTATAAACATCTTCTGCTGGGGTCCCTCGATAGATATTTATGGAGTATTTGCCAAGAATAGGGTGTGGTGGGTGTTGAGGATCACAGGCTAATGAGCCAGCCGGGGTGCCTGCCACCCCATAGCTCTTGGCTTTGGGGGACAGATGCAGTAGGAATGCCAGAAAGACACGTAGTGTGGATGTAAAGAAAGCAGGCCATGGGGTCCTGGAGATCTGGGCTTGAATCTCGGAGATTTGTTAATTCATTCTTTCAACCAGTACTTTTTAAAACAATATTTATTTATGGTTGCACTGGGTCTTCATTGCTGCCCGCGGGCTTTCTCTAGTTATGGCACGTGGGGGCTGCTCATTGCAGTGGCTTCTCTTGTTGCAGGGGCGTGGACTATAGACACACAGGCTTCATTAGTTGTGGTTCGAGAGCTCTAGAGCATGGGCTCAGTAGTTGTGGAGCACGGACTTAGTTGCCTTGCAGCATGTGGGATCTTCCTGGACCAGGGATTGAACCCGTGTCCCCTGTATTGGCAAGCAGATTCTTAATGGCTGGGCCACTAGGGAAGTCCTTAACTGATATTTGAGGGCCTACTCTGTATGCACCAAGGGTTTATTCTAGGTGCTGAAGATACAGTGTTGAGCAAGATGGACAAAATGCTCTTATGTCTTAGAGATGGCATTCTACCAGCTCAAATCTATGATCTTGGGAAGGTCACTAGGTCTTACTCAGCCTCAGGCTCATCACAGAGTGTTAGGTGTATTAAGTGAGGTAATGGATGCAAATCTCTTGGCAGGGTGCTTGGCATGAAGGCTGCACCCAACAGATGGTGGTGCAGTGACGTGCAGTGTGATCCATGTGGGGATCACCATCCCAGATTTGGGGAGTCCGGGAAGGCTTCCTGGAGGAAGTGCCTTATATGATGAAACCTAGGACAGCAGTCACGTCGCTGGGACAGAAGGGTGGAGACCACCCCAGCTGCTCGTAACCTCCCCTGACCCTCTTGTCCGCACCTGCAGGTCTCCTTCCCATGGGCGGCGGGCCCAGCACCTTGGCCCAGGCCACAGCCATCTCGGGCCACCCAGCAGCCGAACCAGTCACCCTCGCCACCGCAGGTCCCCTTCCACCCGGGCGTCCGGCCGGTGCCAGTGCAGAGGAGCTGGTCCCAGGGCTTCCCCAGGCCCACCATGGTCCCGCCCGCCTCTCACAAGCGGCCCACGAGTGCCAGCGGGAAGATGTTCTCCTTCATGGTGGACGGCGCTGCCCACGGGGTTCCCATCATCAAACAAGGTACTCAGGGGCGCTTCCGTGGCGGTTGCGGGGACGGGCTCATGGCCAAGAGGATGGGTCTCAGTCTTTGCTTAATTTCTCCAATTCTAAAGTGCAACATTATCAATTGTGAAAAAAACAATTGGGATAAACAGAAAACAGTGAAAGATCTCATCCTTACCATCGGACTGCACCCTGTTGACTTTTTGGTACAAATCCCTCCAGATTTTGTACCCATCCACACACATCAGTCAGTACCTCTGCAATGAATGTGTGTGTGCATGTGTGTGTACATGTACATGAATATATATGAATGTGTATCAGAATCTATATTTATATACTTTGACAGAAATATGGGTAACTGAAATCCCTCTTGCCTTCAGAGGTTTTAAATATTTTATTACCATTTTGCAAGTTAGAGGAGACAGAGGCTTATGGAGAAAATTACTTCTCTGGAGGTGATACATTCAATCTAATCTCACCTGATGTTTTTCGGTGAAATTTAAGGCTGGTTATCTCGAGGACTGTCACTCGCAGCCTGGTCACTTTGGGGACACAAAGCCATCATGGATTCGTTTCCCCCTCCTCCGCCCCAGAAGGCTTCATGGCATTTCGGGAGGAGACTTCCCGTCTGTCACCATCCTCTCGGCCTCACCAGCCTCACTGGCAGAATAGATAGGTCTACTTAGCCCCTGGCATGATTCCCAGATTTTTTCTGTGGCTGCTGTCAAGAAGGTCCCATTCTCTGTCCTCTGGGTCCCAGCCCTAGACCCCTCTGAGTCCCCAGATCTCTCAACGGCTCCACACACTCCCCTGGTCTCCATCAGGACCACTCTCCTAGTCACCTCACTCAGCCATTCAAATAATAGTTATTAGGCTACTCTGAAGGTAGTGAGTTATCTCAATTGATTGTTCACAGTCAGTTACAGGTTGGGTCAGTTCAGTTGCTCAGTTGTATCTCACTCTTCGCGACCCCATGGACTGCAGCACACCAGGCCTCCCTGTCCATCACCAACTCCCAGAGCTTGCTCAAACTCACGTGCATCAAGTCGGTGATGCCATCCAACCATCTCATCCTCTGTCGTCCCCTTCTCCTCCCTTCAATCTTTCCCAGCATCAGGATCTTTTCCAATGAGTCAGTTCTTCGCATCAGGTGGCCATAAGTATTGAGGTTTCAGCTTCAGCATCTGTCCTTCCAATGAATATTCAGGACTGATTTCCTTTAGGGTTGACTGGTTTGATCTCCTCGCTGTGCAAGGGACTCTCAAGAGTCTTCTCCAACACCACGGTTCAAAAGCATCAATTCTTTAGCACTGAGCTTTCTTTATAGTCCAACTCTCATATCCATACTTGACTGCTGGAAAAACCATAGCTTTGACTATATGCACTTTTGCCAGCAAAGTAATGTGTCTACTTTTTAATATACTGTCTAGGTTGGTCACAGCTTTTCTTCCAAGGAGCAAGTGTATTTTAATTTCATGGCTGAACTCACCATCTGCAGTGATTTTGGAGCCCAAGAAAATAAAGTCATGTTTCCATTGTTTCCCGAATGGAAACATTGGGACCAAATGCCATGATCTTAGTTTTTTGAGTGTTGAGTTTTAAGTCAGCCTTTTCACTCTCCTGTTTCCCTTTCATCAAGAGGCTCTTTAGTTCTTCACTTTCTGCCATAAGGGTGGTGTCATCTGCGTATTTGAGGTTATTGATGTTTCTCCTGACAATCTTGATTCCAGCTTGTGCTGCATCGAGCCCAGCATTTCACATGATGTACTCTGAATATAGGGCTTCCCCTGTGGCTCAGCTTGTAAAGAATCTGCCTGCAATGTGAGAGACTTGGGTTTGATCCCTGGTTGGGAAGATCCTGGTTGGGAACTATACAAAAAAGATCTTCACAACCCAGATAATCACAATGGTGTGATCACTCACCTAGAGCCAGACATCCTGGAAAGTGAAGTCAAGTGGGCCTTAGAAAGCATCACTACAGACAAAGCTAGTGGAGGCGATGGAATTCCAGTTGATTTATTTCAAATCCTAAAATATGATCCTGTGAAAGTGTGGCACTCAACATGCCAGCAAATTTGGAAAACTCAGCAGTGGCTGGAAAAAGTCAGTTTTTATTCCAATCCCAAAGGAAGGCAATGCCAAAGAATGTTCGAACTATCACACAATTGCACTTTTCTCACACGGTAGCAAAGTAATGCTCAAAATTCTCCAAGCCAGGCTTTAACAGTACATGAACCAAGAACTTCCAGATGTTCACGCTGGACTTAGAAAAGGCAGAGGAACCAGAGATCAAATTGTCAACATCTGTTTTATCATCAAACAAGCGAGAGAGTTCCAGAAAAACATCTACTTCTGCTTTATTGACTACCAAAGCCTTTGACTGTGTGTCACAACAAACTGTGGAAAATTCTTAAAGAGACAGGAATACCAGACCACCTTACCTGCCTCCTGAAAAATCTGTACACAGGTCAAGAAGTAGCAGTTAGAAACAGACATGGAACAATGGACAGGTTCTAAATTGGGAAAGGAGTACATCAAGGCTGTATATTGTCACCCTGCTTATTTAACTTATATGCAGAGTGAAAGTGAAAGTGACTCAGTCGTGTCTGACTCTTTGCAACCCCATAGACTATGCAGTCCATGGAATTCTCTAGGCCAGAGTACTGGAGTGGGTAGCTTTTCCCTTCTCCAGGGGATCTTCCCAGTTCAGTTCAGTTCAGTTCAGTCTCTCAGTCATGTCTGACTCTTTGTGACCCCATGGACTGCAGCACGCCGACCCTCCCTGTCCATCACCGACTCCTGGAGTTTACTCAAACTCATGTTCATTGAGTCAGTGATGCCATCCAACCATCTCATCCTCTGTCATCCCCTTCTCCTGCCTTCAATCTTTACCAGCATCAGGATCTTTTCAAATGAGTCAGTTCTTTGCAACAGGTGGCCAAAGTCAGTTCTTTGCATCAGGCTTGACTGGCTGGAGGATCCACTTCTAAGACAGCGTGCTCACATAGCTGCAAGCAGGAGGCCTCATTTCCTCACCATGGGGTTCTCCCCAGAGAGCGGCTCCAGTGTTCTCATGAACATCAGTCTGCATTGGCTCCTCCTGAGCAAGTGATCCAGGAGAGCAAGGTAGAAATTGCAATGTCTCCTGTGACCAAGCCTCAGTAGTCACTCTGTCATTGCTGCAGTGTCTTATTGGTTACATAGGGCGTCCCTCTCCAGGATGGGAGAAGACTACACACGGCTGAAGACTTGGATACCTAGTTGCAGCTGCATAGTTCTAGAGTCTGCTTCCTGCCTGCAGAAACTTGTGGGTCCAGAAGCTTCTTTTACTTCTGTGAGTCTGTCGGTCTGCATTGCCAGTGCTTCTTATTTGGGTTCATTCTATTAGGTGAAACCCATGTTGTTGTTCGGTCACTCAGTTGTGTTCAACTCTTTGCAACCCCATGGACTGCAGCACGCCAGGCTTCCCTGTCCTTCACCATCTCCTGGAGCTTGCTCAATCTCCTGTCCATTGAGTTGGTGATGCCATCCCATCATCTCATCCTCTGTCGTCCCCTTTTCCTCCTGCCTTCAATCTTTTCCAGCATCTGGGTCTTTTCCAATCGGCTCTTCCCATCAGGTGGCCAAAGTATTGGAGCTTCAGCATCAGTCCTTCCAATGAAAATTCAGGGTTGATTTCCTTTAGCATTTACTGGTTTAATCTCTTTGCAGTCCAAGGGACTCTCAAGAATCTTCTCCAGAACCACAGTTCAAAAGCATCAGTTCTTCAGTGGTCAGGCTTCTTTATGGTCCAACTCTCACATCCATACATGACTACTGAAAAAACTATAACTTTGACTAGATGGACCTTTGTCAGCAAAGTAATGTCTCTGCTTTTTAATACATTATCTAGGTTTGTCATGGCTTTTCTTCCAAGGAGCAAGTGTGTTTTAGTTTCATGGCTGCAGTCACTGTCTGCAGTGATTTTGAAGCCCAAGAAAATAGTGTCTCTCACTGTTTCCATTGTTTCCCCATCTATTTGCCATGAAGTTATGGAACCAGATGCCACAATCTTTGTTTCTTGAATGTTGAGTTTTAAGCCAGCTTTTTCACTCTCCTCTTTCACTTTCATCAAGAAGCTCTTTAGTTCCTCTTTGCTTTCTGCCATTAGGGTGGTGTCATCTGCATATCTGAGGTTATTGATATTTCTCCCAGCAATCTTGATTTCAGCTTGTGCTTCATCCAGCCCTGCATTTTGCATGATGTACTCTGCATATAAGTTAAAAAAGCAGGTTGACAATGGGCAAAACCCATGCTCACAGGATTTTTTTGACACAAGCCCTTCCACCTTGGGCTTCTGCCAAGACTGCCCAGGCTTCTTTGAAGCCCAGTCCCTAGACCAAACGTCCTCTGGGACACTACCCTGAGTCTGTGTTCTTAACACAGGATTTTTACAGTCACTTCAGTTTCTTCTTTAGATTGTGTTTTCTTGAGAGCACCCTTGATTTGATCTTTACCCAGAGTCAGTTTCTTACGTGTCATTTGCCACCTGCACAGCCAGGGAATTTTCAAGCCCAGAGCATTGAGTCCTGATTGAACAGCCCTTCTTTAACTGTCTCTACCCCTCACATGGGCTTCCCAGGTGGCAGTGGTAAAGAAACCGCCTGCCAGTGCAGGCAGTGCAAGAGACACGGGTTCAGTCCCTGGGTCAGGAAGATCCCCTGGGGTAGGAATGCAACCCCCTCCAGTATTTCTTGCCTGGAAAATTCCATGGACAGAGGAGCCTAGAGAGCTACACTCCATGGGGCTGCAAAGAGACATGACTGAGTGACTGAGCACCCCTTCACATTTCACTGTAAATAAGTAGTAAGAAGTAGCCAGGTGCACCTTCCATAACTCTTGCCTGGAGCTCTCTTTAGCTTGATCAGTCAGCTCGTCAGGAACATTTTCTCTTCCCACATAATGACAGGCAGGATGCTATTAAAACTTTTGCCACCACCTAACAAGGATCCCTTGACCCAGTAACATTTTCCTCACTT